TCCCGCTGATGCTCCTGACTTCAGGAGGTTCAGCGGCAAAATAAGAGTAAAATTCTGACTCGGGATGCTTCAATATTCACAATTTTAGGAAAAAATTATATCAAGTATCATGGAACTACAATAATATACAAATAATCGATTGGTAAATAAATCAATTTTTTAAGTTATAGATATAGAATCAATACTTTTCATTCAAGTGCAGTTTTATCGATTATACTCTTAAAAATTTATCCTGTGTTGATTTCTTATTAGACAGACGGTAATTAAGTCTTGTTCGAACCAATAATAATAATAAAATGCAACTATACATTCCTCTTGGTGTAATTGAATAAGATCAATTCTTTAAAATCGATAGACCCAAATGAGTATTATGATCACGACTATACAAATTTGCAAATGCTAACACTCATAATAGAATAGAATTATATATGACGGTTAATCGATATTAAGTAATTTTTTACCATATCGATAATTCAATGACATCTAATCGATCATTAAAAATATCAATAGTTGTTGATAATTGATTGATTTTTACCATATTAATAATTGTTGACTGACTGATTACTTCAAGTATCGACTGTTTTTTTTCGATTAATCGATTATCTACAGTATCGATAATTCATTGAAAATTGATAATCGGTATCGATAGATCATATTCAAACGCATTATTTTTATTAATTAATCAATTATTCTTGATAAAGTCGAATTACTGATAAGATTAGATATATAATGGATTGAAAAGAAAATTAATTTAATTTAAACTTGAAATAATTTCTAAGTCATCGTAGCAACAATAATTGTTGTGATGACGATCGACAGCTGAATGCAGTATCCTGGCAATGGGATTTTTTTGTTAGTGACGAAACGCGTGGATGCATTCTTCTCAATCCAAAAAGCTGCCGCTCTGTTGAAGGAAACGTCTATTGTCGTATTGTTCTCGTAATCGAGGGTCGAGTGCTCTGTTTTTGAGTCGCTCGATCGATCGTTCGTTCTAGCGGAAGACAATAGCTACGTACTGACACGACGTATACCCAAATAACAGGTGGTGAGAGTATTTATTCCCATTTTGTAGTTAAAAGTAAGGATTAAAAAATTTTAAGATAAAAGATAGAAAAAAAATCTTTTTACGTATTTATCACAAGTAAGGAATAATCATCTTGGAAATTGAAATTGATTTTTTTGTTTTTTCTTTTTAATAGCTTAATCAATTGTGAGTTCGGGAATATTTGATGTAAGAGTCATTATTCAATGGAATTTATTAAGCTGAAATACCCATTAATTTTTTTTTGATAATTATAAGTCTATTTTTTCTTCTTATATAAAACAATAAATATTTGAAAATAAAAAAGTTCTCAATTTTTGAAATATAGAAAAAGTAAAGATCGATTAATTTTATTCCTGTTTAACAGTTAAGCTATAGTCAGGGTCCATCCAGGTTGTGATCATAGTCTTAGATGTCATCTAGAGGAGTAGGTAAAAGAAGTAATGCTCATTGGTTTGGAGATTATTCGCCAATTTCAACAATTTTGTAGAAACATCTCACTTTTTGGATGCAAATCTGCGTTAAATTCATTTGTAGGGTGGGCATATTATTTTGTTGGTGGTGCTAATACTTAATACTGTTCTGGTACCTGACCGTTTTCTTATTGACACCATTCACAATTGAGACATTTTATTGCACCATTTTTGGGCCCTCATCCGCAATTGAGGTGCGGCTACGAAAAAAAGTTTGAAAAAATACCCCTTAGTCTCCTGCTGAAAGTAAGGAAGTTTGGTTGCGGTGGGTGAAAGAGGGTGGTTATGGGTGGCGAAAATGTGAAAAAATATATGTTTTTTTCTAACTTATGAGAACTTTTGGAAAATTACTGAAATGATCCGAAAAACTCCAAAATGTGTGCAACTGGTATAATCGATCTAGAATGTTCCGAAATATGTACGAATGTTGTAATCAATCTAGAAAACTTAGATCGGAGTGATGTAGTTAGAAATGTTCTAGTGGGTTCTGGTATATACTTATATACCAATGTACATTGTATTTTTAATGAGCGAATAAGTCTATTAATATCTAAGATATAAATCTGCAAATTGTAAAATAAAAGCATGTTCCCATTTATTTGTTAATTAATGAACGACTGAATTTGTTGTTTGCAACGCTTGACTGATTTGTTTATGTTTCAGTTTCTGACTGAGACTTGAGCTGACCGGACATTTTCCCTGTCATTAAGATTTTCAAATTGATTTGATAAACGCTTTAATTCTTTTTTTATCCACCTTTGAATTATTATTTTGTCATCAATAATTTTGCGCCACCTGGTATGCCATTGTGCATACTAATTTTATTTCTGTGTACTTATTTGCATCCTATCGTTGTCATACTGTTTTTGTGACTAAACGTCACTAATTTTCATAAATAATTATGGTTCAATATGTTTTTGAGTAAATTTAAAATGTTAAGCAATACAATAAGTGGTTGCAAATTATTATATCCGGTAAAGGCTTCGTAAAATGTAATCTTATTCGCTGCAGCACCTACTTGGCTGATCTTGTATTTCTATTTATGCAAGCTTGTTTATTTGTGATTAATTATATGTTTCTTAACTCTGTTAGAAATATTGATGATAAAATGATTTTAGAAAAGATTATCCATTTTCATTTTGAAACAGATCTAATTGACTATAACTTGATTATCATTGAAGAAAATTTTCATCTTTCTGATATTAACATTTTTGTTCCGCTTATGTTTCAATTTATGATGAATCATGAGCATTTTAAATTTATAAGTTATTAATTTTTTATATATCATAAAGAATGGAACTTTTCGTATGGCACATGGAATCTCGCACGAAAAAGGTCCTTAGGAAAGGAACATTTTCTATGTGAAATTGAAAGCCTTTCAATTTTTGTTTTAAACATTTTTCGGTATTTCCCATAGTGTGTGAAATAATCACAAAAAACTGCAGTTGTGATAGATTTTCAGTAAAGTACCTTTTTTTTTAATTTAGTATTTTAGTTCTATAACGAATTAAAATCATAGTAATTTATTTGCCTTTTAAATTATAAATAAACAATATCATTATTCTTTAAAAGATGTTATAAGTAGTAAAAGATGGTGATAAATAAAGAATAGTCAATTTTCTAAGGATAATATCTTACTATTTATTATAATCTTCCCTTATGGATATACATTTAATTTTTTGTTATTTATACTCGGATTATCGCATTTTACTCCCTTCTCAATTACGTGTAATACAATTTATTTATCGTTACCAGCTGTTCTTGCTGGCATAATGTAATTGTCTAGACAATAATTAATAATAGTGATCATGAATTAATAATAATAATGACTATGACAACAATTATCCGTATAATTAATTAAAAGTATCTAACAGTCTTTAGGGTTAAAATATAAGCAGATAAAAATAATAACTGATAATAAAAATAATGATGACTTTACAATTATTTTCGAATCGTAGGTATTCATTCATTTATACCAATAATTCAATTAAAAAACAACTGATAAAAACAGAATGTTTTAAAAAAAAAATATTTTTTATTGTTAAAGTTTTAGCGTTTATTTATCCATCAGTCATTTATCTATTCACATAATATTGAGATTAAATTTTTGAAAAGTAATTTAAAGAAAAGTACAAAATATGGCTTTGTAATTGGGTTTCTACTTTTTCGCAATTATCTCGAAAACGATTAAAAATAGAAGAAAAAAGGTCAAAATAAGAGATGTAGAGACAAAAGTTCTACATTAAATAGTGCACATTCTTAAAGTTCTATCTTTCATAGTGAAACCACAAAATCACAATGAAGATAAGACTTGAATGAATTCTGATTCTGATTTTTGTCAATGTTCAATGTGTATAACTATTTTATTGCTGAACTATGACAGATGGAGGATGAACTGTAGAGATCTTTTTTACGTAAAATAGAAATATCTTCAACTTTTGTTTGAAACATTCTCATGTATCTTTTTTAGATTAGCTGTAAAATGACGATACATATAAAAACGTGATGATTTTTAATTTTTGTCTGTTTTCATCGTCACTTTACAGCTAAACCAAGAGAGATACAAAATAACACTAAAATACTTTTTATGGAAAATTGAAAGATCTTCAATTCTGTCTGAAATTTTTATCTTTACCTTTCAAAGTTTTCGAGGTAATCGCAAAAACTGTTTTGACGTTTAAAAAAATGATAACTTTACAATATTATAATTTACAATGATTCTTTAATGATTTTTTTCCATCCATTCATAGAAAATTTTATCCAATAATAAACAACTAAAAAAAATAGATTGTTCTAAAAGTTAAAAATATCATTTATTCCTCAACGTTTGTTTATGTTTATTCATTTATCGGTATTTCCATTTATTCACGTAATTGAATAATTGGCACACTTGTACAAATTTAACAATAGTATTGAGTAATAATTATCAATAGTAATAATAGAAAAACATAAAAATAATTAATAATAATAATAATAATAATAATAATAATAATAATAATAATAATAATGAATAACAAACACTATCATTGTTAATAAATTATTTTCGATGTAATTGTTTAATAATTTATTCATTTATGCCAATGAATATTGATTGGATTATTTAAATAAAAGCATAAAATTATCTCATATTCAATATTTAATTCATGTTACATTTTTTTTTATTTTCTAATTAATGATATGCTGTGAAATAGTCTTATGCTTAATATTCAAATAAATAAACAGAATAATGTAAATGTCTTACTACATACAAACATTTTATTTATTTAATTTTTTTAAGAATATTTACAAAAATCTTTATGAGCAAAATATGCACAGAAATATTCTTTTTAGTTCTTGAGATAATAGTTTATTTAATTATGAATTTACATTTGCATGACAAATTAGCTTTTTATGATGAATTCCATAAGAAAACATAATAACTTGAGATTTTTAATCATTTAAGTTTTGATAATTTTTGTTTTTTCAATCTTGCTTTGTTTAATACATTTCGTTAATGCTAATTAATTTCTAAATGTCTATTTATAGTTATTTAATAGTCTACAGGTAAATATTTACATCGACTTCCCTTCGTATTGTAAGAGAATCCCTTTGAAAAAAAAATCACAATGAGCTATCTTTGTTTTTTGATTCGATATAAAAAGATTTTTCATACCCTAGTAGATGTGATTGAAGATTTAAAAAATGACAATTTGATCAGTTTCATTTTTTTTAGCAATATCGACAAGAACATTAAAATTTGAATTCTTGAATAAAAGTTGAAAATAAGGCTGTAAAAGTTATTTATTTATGACTCTTTCAAAAATGGTGACAGATACAGAAAAAAAGTTCGAACAAAGCTTGTAGAAAATACAATTTTACGTACGAAAGGTATTGACTCTCAAATCTCTATTTGCTAAAGTTTAGCCATAAAATTACAATTAAAATTTTAAAATTAAGCAAAATTTCTTCTGATCATTTCTCTATTGTTATCATAATTTTGTCGTTAAATTACAAAAAATAGAGAAAAAAGTTCCAAACAAAAATTAACGATCGTTAAATTTCACATAAAAAAGCTTCTTAAACTTCATCGTCTTCTCCTTATAGTTTATTACAGTTGATTGAATAATTCCGAGTAACATTAAATAAATCTTCAAGTCCAAGCAAAGTCTCTGAACGTTAAAACTATAAATAATGCCAATTAAAAAAGGTAATCAAAACAACAGGTCCTGACATCAAATTGCCATTTTTAAATAGCAACTCCAAAAATATGTTTCCAACCTTTGGGTTCTCACTAGTGTATGACCTAAACCCTGTAGCTCAGTAAATATTTAGTTTCTTGTATATAACAAGAAAAGCAAACACGATACACACGGAGCTTTAAATAAACTATTTAACAACAATAATTGGCAGATAAACACCTATGTATTTATAGAGTTGGATATTTGCTTACAAGAGACTGAAGCTATGCTCTATCGGGTCAGAAGATAACGGTCAGAGGACGTCGGAAATCGTTTCCTGGAGTCGCTGTGGTTGGATAACCGCCATATTGACTGACCTGTGGTGCTAATAGACCACCACCTTGGACAGATCCAGGGTAATAAGCAGGAATAGAAGCACCAGGACTTGCTGCTGATGAGGTTGGAGTTGATGTTGCACTAGCACTTGATGAACTGTGCTGTTCTGTTCTTTCAGAAACACTGTGTTGCTTCATCATATCTGGTGAATCCGAACTTGGTGAACGATTAGCACCCTGAATTGGACTTGAATCTTCATAAAGTTTGTTGGTTTCATAACCAGTTCTGTTGTAGTCATTGATGTTTGGTTTATCCATGTAAAGTTTGGATTGCTCGAAATAAGCTTTAGCAGAATCTAAATAGCTTCGTTCCAGATACTTGGGACTGGTGTCTAAATATTTTGGATCCGAATACATCGACATTGTTAAGGTGCTTGGTGGCATGTAGGCTGCTCGATATTTGTCTGCTTCCACCATTGAGTATTTCATGGCATCCATTGAGCTCACGACCTAAAACATAAGATATTATTTGTTAAGATTGATTAGACGTCTATCATAAAGTGGACTGATCTTTTTTTCAGGAAAGAATTAACGAGAGGAAGAACTGTGATTGAATCCAAAGTAAGGTGTAAAATGAAAAATACTGTCACTTTCTTGTGATGATTGAGTAAACTAATGAAGATATAAAAAAAGCTTGAGAGAAAAGTTAAACATTTGTTAATTTTACATAAAAAAGATTTTCTATCTCTTACAGTTTATCTACAAAATAATTATAAAGATGGGAAAATGGCTTGTTATTAATTTCTAATATTTATTGAAGTTTATTATCATTTTTCAACCAAACTTTGAGAGATAGAGAAAAAAGTCTAAGGACCATTTTTATGGAAAACTTAAAACCCTTCAAATTATATTTCAAGCATTTTCTCCAAATCAAATAGTTTACGAGATAATTAGAAAAAAACTTAGATCTGAAGGATTAGGCATGAGTGTAGCAGAATTGGTGCAATATTTGAATGGGACAAGTTGTTGGGTGCTTGAATATATTCTCACGTGCGAAGAGGGTTCCCTTTTCATGAACGATTAACCGCTTGCCGTGACCATTTCTCTTTCTCTCTCTAGCCAGAGTCAGCTATCCTTTTTGCACCACGAACTGCTGAGTCTCTACGGGGCGTTAGAAGTTAATTACGGATGAAATTCCAACCGATCCGATGAAGGCTACCAGTGACCCTCCCAATTTTTTGATTGACCTAGAGATGAGATTATCTCTTTTGATAAATAATTGGATAATAGATATTAACACCTGAATAGGTTAAATGACTTTACATTGATACCATCATTTTTGACTGCTTTCTAGATAAAGCTGTTTAATAAAATGTAAAACATGGCTTGTTTTCGTTTAATGAATGTCATGTTAGAACATATTTATCAGCATCAAGATCAGGTTAAATTCAACCGTTTAAAAATTTTTTCATTCTCGATCAAAAAAATTTTAAAATATTATTCTACATCTCTTAGAGTTTAGCTGTAAAATAATAATAAAGATAGCAAGGAATGGAAAAATTGAATAAAATCCCATTTAAGCTCAATATCACTGTCTTATGATAAACTCTTTCAGACTTTGATTAAAATGTTTATAAACATTATTATTCATTAGTTTAATGAGTATCTACGAATTGTATCCGAAATAAGCTAGCAGCTACAATATTCAATGTCAAATCAAAACAGTTGATGAAACCACTAGAGCCATATAAACTTTAGATACTGCAAGAAAACGGGCTCAATCACTAAAGCTATTCATATCATGAAAAGTAATAATTGTCCATCAATTTATTCCACAAGACTTTCTAGAACAAAAAGATCTTAAATTTAACAACTCATTTTCCAAAAGAGCAAATTTTTTTATCATAACAACCTTCGATACCCATAGTCATTGAAAAGAAACTGGGAAGATGATCAATAAGCCAAATTAATATTATCTTATTGCCTCTAATGATCACCAAAACACCAGAACCAAACAAATAACTCATCATCAGAAATTGCTAGCAGAGAATGAGGTGTTCAAGTTAACAACAGCATTTAGTGTTCATCTCAAGATCTTGATGAGTAAACATTTAATAATATATTTGTCTTATTAACTGTTAAATTCTTTTCTAAATAATATCCTAAAGTAAGGGTCTTCCTACCTGGCTCTCTTATAGACTTCTACGAGGCCCGCAAATAGGATCTTGAAAATACTTGCAATATAGGGATGACATTTCAGGCAAATATGTAAATGTGGCAATCAAAAGAAACTTGAAGAGAAACCGGACTACAACCTTAGAATTTTGGCCAGGTCCAAAAGAAGTTGATAATCAATTGGATGTAGAGAAGAGAGCAGCAAGTGTGGAAGAAGGAAGAACGAGACTGGTGTAAATCATACAACTGGACAAAGCCGCTTAACGATCCGACAAAGGATCGACAAAGGTATCTCAACGAATTATAGAATTATGAATATTTTTCTTTCTCTTTCTATATTCATTTTTTCCTTTACAATCTTACAGTCCGCACACTCATATAGACACCTTCTTTATTTTGGCTTTTGGAATACTAACTCTTGAGAGAGAGGACTATCGTTCCTTTCCAGCAAGGACTGTGACTAAATTTATAGCTATTGGCTACCTTTGTCACAGTGATAAAAGGATAACTTTTATCGAACTTTTTTATTTGGTGATTTTGTTATGAGTTAAATTGAGCCAAATTCATGAATGCAAGATGTTTCTTTTTTTTGTTTTAGAAAGTTTGGTAAAATTTATTTGCAATGTTGAGGTCAATTGTGGTTGATGGTGTTTCGTAGAGAAAAAAAGAGAAAGAAATATTGAAACTCTTTAAATTTTGTATAAAAATGGTTCTTACATTTTGTGCTCTAAGTTTTGTGCTTTAGCTACAAAATGATGAAAAACATGGAGGTATTGTTGATAGTCAATTATTCATAAAAAGAATTGATCTTTATTGTCATTTTTCAGCTAAACTATTAAAAATAGAGAAAAAAATCAAAGAACCTTTTTAATGTAAAATTGAAAAATCTTCGTTTTAAATATTTTTCTATATTTCTCTTAGTTTCTAAAATAATCACGAATAAATTCATTTTCTTGGCGAATTTGTTCGAATTCATAACTAACTGAAATATATGTTTATTAGTTTTCAATAAAATTCATGACGAATTGATGATATATTTTCCGTTTTTACAAGTAAGAGAAATCTGACCTTTAAATTCTTAGCATCTCAATACATTCTTCAGTAATCAGTTATATACAGTTGAATTACAAAAATATTCTCGTTTCAAAACAACAACTGAAACTCATTCAAATGACCTACGTGTCATTACACAAAAGTTTGAAATATTGTAACTCAATTAAATCCATCGTTGAAATAATTCTTTCTAATTTCAACAATTAATGTGATTCATTCAAATATTTCTATATTGAATCCAAAATAAAATTATTTTTAAGATTAAGGATCCATTTTTTATTTTGATAGTAGAATAATGACAATAAAATTTCACTATAATTTCATATTGTTATTCTTTTTCAAAATAACGATACTGTATTATCATAGAAAGTGATCAAAATCTTTGTCTGTAAAAGGATAAATAAAAGTTCATTCATTCATTCATAAGATCATTCATCAATCCAACATCGAAAAGAAGGTCCTCTCTCTTATCTACTTTAAGAGAATAATGATAAATTTTTTTTTTTAATAATTTACATTTTGAGAAAGTTAAATATATGATTTCTTATTAAAATAATTGTTTACTGCATTTGAATTCCGTGCGCATTGTGGTTGTGAGTTTATGCGACTTTTTTGCGATTATCTCAAAAACGATGAAAAAAAGACGTTTTTTTAAATAGTTTTCAAGATAATCACCAAAAACTGGGTTTGATACTATTTTCCCCCTGAATTTTACCACTTTACCTAGGTACATTTTTCCAACAAATTTAAACATTCCAATAATATCTACTGTTCTTTTGAATTACGAATAAGCCTTTTTCTTTTATTTTTAATGTAAACCACTGCAGTGCCATGGGACTCAGTGAATATTAAGAGAGTGGCATAATTATATCAATAGTTAAACATACCGTAAGTACAATTTGTGATTACAATTATTTGAAGATGAACATGTTATTATAAATGTTTACCTATAGAAAGAATATAATATAATATCATATGAAACCCGGGACTACATTGTTTGCTTGACAGTTTAACTGTCGATTGTGTTAATTAACCGTCGCTTGGAAAGCCGATTGATGATATGAATAATCTATGTTAATTTCATTCTGATATAGACACGACAGTTTAAATACTATGAGTTAACTTTTTTATCGATTTTTCCAATCACTATTTTCATTTAATTTACTGCGCAATTAACAATAAAAGATAATAAAACAAGAACTTGCTCGAGAATTGAATATAAAGATAAAAAATGAATAAAAATTTTAGTGGAATGCAATAATAATTAAAAAAAGGAATAGTAATAGAAATTTTAAAAGAAACAGAAAATAAAACTTATTCTTTATTTTGAATTAAATCTGTGAGGTCAAATCGATTTATCAAACTATCGATTGTTGATAAATAAAAAGTATTCGATAAAACACGATATAAAAAAAACTACTGATTTTAAAAATTGGATCCAGATGTATATACATTTTGTGGTTTTTAAATGAGGGAGAAAAAGTATTTATTTATGGCATTTCGGAAACTACCGGTTTTATGTAGAGAAATTTTCATAGAAAATTGATCATAAATAGCGTGGAAAAAAATTCTTTTCTTTTTTGCTGGTAAGGACAAGTATTGTGAAAAAGGGTCATAAAAGGTTCAAAATATGCATAACATAATTTTTTATTATGCTTCTTTTCTTGAAAATTTTTAACAACTAATAAAGTTGAGAGACTTCAATTTTTTTTTTATGTTCGATTTTGAAGTTTTTAATCTACTAGTTCGAAATCGAGTAAAATCTAAAACGGACTGTTATTAGTTTTTTTATTGCTACACAATAGAAAATAATTATGATAAAAGAAAAAACAAATAATATGATTTGACACGAAAAATCTTGAAAAGAGAATTTTCCATTAGATATTTTATAATAACAATAATAGCTTTCTAATTAAATGAACTGTATATTTATACCTGTAAATTATTAAATAAAAGTGATGTATGATATACTAAAATTGTAATATTTATTAAATAAAACGAAGAGGAATAATATGAGTAACGTATAGCAACAGTAGCAGGTCGCTAGTTGGGGAAGTATACCACCTTACAATAGAATTCAAGATGTATTTCCATTGGTTGATTGTAATGCTTTCAATTATTTTAGAATAATTTCATACACATCATTTGAAAATTTATATTACGTAGACTTATAAGTTACATTTGAAATTCACTGCAATTATTTGAAATTTTTTTATCCTCTTTACAATGAAATACAAATTTTTACCCGTCGATAACAATGCCTCTAATTATCTGAAAACACTTTCAAACACACAATTTTATAGTTCGTCCGTTTTAGTTTTCGAAAGACGTAAAAAAATGTGCCCTGATAATTGTAATAGTCAATAAGTATTCTCGAAGGTCAAACACATACTTTCTTTTGTTATCTCCAAAAAAATATCAAATTTTGAAATTTACAAATTTTTTTAATTCTATTATTATGTTTTAAAATAAAAATTTGTTTAAAAATCAAGTTTCTCGTCTTGACAGATTTTTCTCGAGAGTCAATGATAGATATTTATTCAATTAATACTAAAACAAATGATTTTGTAGTCAAAAATGAATTTATTTCTTAAAAACCAAAGAATTTTTGTCACTCAATGAGACGGTACAGTAGTGAAATCACAATCTATTTTAGTAAAATAAAATTATTTTTTCCCTCGTAAAATTCTCAATTCCAAAAATAAGTACTATCATCACAATATTAATAGAAAATTGCTGATAAAAAATTTATATTCTTCCAAAAATGTAACTTTTTATCAATTAATAAATTGATCCACAAAAAATTTGATATTTTATACTCAGATTCTCATCTATGCGCTTCAATCGATTGATGAATTTCGAACGATGAATATCAATAAAAAATAGCACATCCTAAATTGATGACATCAGATCGTGAAAATGACGTAGAGAATAAAAAATATGTATGAGTCTTTCTAGTATTTGAGGACGCCTAAATCACCTTGAACAAAGTTGTTAAATGATTATATTGCAGGAGAAAATAAACCGATGTAAAAATGGTCATAAAACAATATTACAAATGGGCACAATATTCAATATGACACGTACCTAAAATAAAAAAGATTGAGAGGATTATTGACAAGATGGGAAACTATCATGTCGACCATTCTTGGACTTTAAGAATGGCCTGTAAGAAGGTTTCATTGAAAAATTCTTAGGTCAAGGATTGACGTTTGCACCCGCACTGAATGATGTACCATAAAATAAATTTAGGTTTCTAAACATCAACGTTCTTTAGACATTGTTGTATTCTTCAATTCTCCTGGTATTCAATGGGATTTTCTTTTGTCAAAGCGAGACCCAACACAGTTATGGTAAAATGCTTTAGAATAAATTCCAAGAGCACGGGGATTCCAAGAGAAGAACACCAGCAAGTGGGAGAGAGAAATTCCACGAAAAATCTTGACGAATAGAATAGAAGCAATAGTATCGAGGTGTTGGGTTTTAGCTATTCAGGGACACTTTTAAAAGGAGAAGGAGGAGTGACTGTTCCTATAAGTATTGTAGATAAAAGAAAGACTCACCTGGCCAGGTGCCCCGAGGCCAGCGGACATAGCGGCAGACTGCTGGGCAGCGGCAGCCACTGCGGCCATGCTGGTTAGAGGTCCATAAGCTGCTGCTGCTGCTGGTCCGTAATAAGTACTCATCCCTGCTTGACCCATTCCACCAGCCATCCCTTTAATTACAAATACAAACCATTCAATTTTACGCCTCATATTTAATTATCTTCCTGACACGTGCATCACATCGTTATTTTTATATTTTACGACATTTCTTCGTATTAATATTTGCTCTGCTTATTGCTTGAGCAAGTGTTTACGACTTTATTTTTATTTTAATTATTATAACGACACACATTATTAGATAATAGTATCATTCGAAATATCAAATCAGAATGATCGATTGTTTGATTTCGATAGAAAAAATTAAATTTATAGTAAATTTCAAGAAAAAAATCATTTTTACAAAAATATTAATTTTTTTGTCAATCGTCGTATCAATTGTTTACAATCAAATTGCAAATGAATCGATTGTGGACAATCGATATTTAAAAAAATTAATAAATACTAAATTCTCTCATTTTTGTTGTTAACACGTCAAAAATCGTACAATTACTTCTTCGATAATCAATAGTTTGATGTTCTATATCAGAAATAGATATTGAAAAATAATTATTCAGTTCTTAGGTCCACGTGCTATTTATCAATTAAACTGAATTAATAATAAAATGTATGTGAAAAGGAGAAAAAAAATTTTTATATAACACCCTAAATTTCAATTTAACTCGAAAACCTTACGCAAACATTCTTTTATTTGTGAACAGGTGTATGTTTATCATGCAAATGATCAAATTTCCGTTGTCAAACCCAACTCAAAACTTATTATTGAACTAATTTTTTAAACACGAAAATAAAATTAAAATTATTTAAAAATTATTCCATAAAAATAAAATTTGTGAACAGTATGGTTTTTGTAAGTGGTTATGGAAATTCTATCTATGACTAGAGAGTCGATTAATTGATTAAAAAAAAAGCATTGAGCATGATATAGACAGTAAACTATAATTTTTTTATGTGTAAGTGAAGATTTTATTATTAATTAGTGATTTCATGCAATTATAAAAGCGTTATCTCAGTTAAGTGTAAATTATCTCGTTAATTATTAGACATATGAAAAAAAGTTCTGAGCAAAAGTTGAAGATCTTCAAGAGTAGGAATATTTTTTATGCAAAATTTGAAGAGCTTTGATTCTTTATTCTACACTGTCCTTTATATCTCTTATAGTTCTCGAGATAATCTTAAAAAACTGAGCTCAAGACGGATTTCTTCTCATGGATCTCAATATAAAGTAACTATTGACAATAAATAAGTGGCCATTATCTACCTGCTCGAAGAGCATCCATTGACACACTAGCATAGGGAATGCTGTAAGGATACCCTTCCTTCCTCAGTGTCTTTGGTTTACGTCGAGGACGGTATTTATACTCGGGATGCTCTTTCATGTGGACTGTGCGTAATCTTTTGGCTTCATCAATGAATGGGCGTTTGTCACTTTCTGGCAATAGTTTCCACTCAGCTCCTATAAATATAAATAATTCAATTATTTCCATTAATTTCAACCTATTAAATATTACAATTGGTACATATGTATATTTTGTATGTCCCTAAAATATACGCTCACAGGGTGACGAATATTCCTTCGTCACGTCCTTTTGGATCTCTTCGGTTGAGCCTCGTTAAATCGCAATTGTGCTACGTCATCCTGCATAATCATGAAATCACAGTACACGAAAGGGAGTTATCATGCTTGCTTAATCAATTCGATTCAGTAGAAAAATAAAATGAGTTTATATAAACTCGTATGACAAAACAAAATTTATACCAAAAAAAATAAAATAATTATGTATATATATGGGAGAGTGAAATAACACGTAATCTTGTATTTCTGCCAATCATTCGCGACTATGATAATAAAAACATTTTAGAAATGGCTCTTTAATTATTTATAATTGGGAAATTAGTTGTAAATTGTCAATGGGTTATTTTTTATTTATAAAAGTTCTGTTATGTTTAGATGATGTATTAAAAAGTTGAATTCTGAAAGTATTTTTAATAATAAACAAGTATTAGTTTTCGTTTCACGTGTTTTGGTTTCATTAGGCTAGTTGATGCTTTGGTGTTTCAGGAAATATTTTTCAAGTTAGTATAAATGATTGGGAATAATTTAAACAGCCATTCAATTCAGATCAAGGGGTGAAATTTACAGTGAGTTGTATCAAAACTAATTTCTTGTATTCAATACTTTTTTCGTATTTTTTGTAGTTCAGCTGTAAAATGACAAAAACAATAGGAAATTTAGTTTATTGTCATTATCTTTCCTTTATGGTTATTTTACGATTAAAATTAAAAATAGGAGTTCGAGTATAAATACCTTTTTTTATGTAATATTGCAAGATCTTTAAGTTATAATCTGAATTTTTTTCGAATCTCCTATAGTTCACAAGATAATTGCGCAAAATTTTAATCAACTTCCTTTCTTATTCTGCATGAGAGCATTGTTCTCCATTATCCCTACATATTCTCAACAATCGTGAAAATATTTACTAAAATTCTCATCTACTCTGAATATTTTCCATTTGGCAATGTAACTTTCTAGCTCACAATTTTCGTGAAAAAAAAACAAACATATAATTTGAATAAATTCCATTAGCAAACTTATTCAAGCCATCTTGTAATAATTGCAGCATTATTTGAATGATTGTAGTCACGAATAAACAAAAGAAAGTCTTAGAACCGACCTGTACCTTGTTGTGTCGTCGATTGTTTCTTTGAAAAATTAATTACCTTTTCTGTTAGTATGCAAACGCGACAAAACAAAACGCGTACAATGTCTAACGACTCACGAACAGAAAACAGTTGAAATACGATACTAGAATAGCGTCGGTGGTTAATTCGCTCGCGTCGTCAACAACAATATAAACGGTAGAAGACGCGAATGTTGGTAACAATGGCATCCATGTGTCGATATACAAACACAATACAATACAAAGTTACCTACACCACAAATCTATTGTTACACTACTGCATACGACTACAAATCAACAATGCTTTTCATTATTTCCTTTGTTTAATATACCAGGTATACATTAGTCACTTGAGTAATGCATTATAATCTCAAAAAAGAGAATAAAAAGAATATTTAAAAAATGGTCAATAGTGTCAAGTAGCGAATCAATAGGAATTTTTCTTCCAGGTAAAATAAAATAAAACATGGCGTGGAGGAGTGGTAGGGGGTGCTGTGTGTTCGTTTAGAACAAAAGCGTTGACGAAAGTATTAGTAGTCCTCAGCTCACTTTCTACCCTTCTCGAGGTTTACTTCTACAATTTTGCCCTTTCTTTCTCTTATGAGCTTTATAGTGTTCTGTACTTTAGACTGAGGAATTAAGCAAGCTACGAACATTAACACAATAGTGCCCACCTTTCCGTCCTTTCGCTAGTGAACAATGCCGTTTATTTAACATCGTTTAAAGTACAAAGCCTATTAATTAATGAATGCCGCGGTATGGTGGCGCATGGGGTGGTTATGTTCTAGCACCATCTAAAGCTAATCAATTTTTAGATTATTTTCTAATAAAATATTCATTTTTCATCTTTACAACGGTCTTGCAGCTAAACATAAAAGATAGGATAATAAAGGTTTAAATAAAAATTAGAGATTTCTGAATTTTACACAAAAAAACTTCTTCACACTTTATTTTGAATCTCTCATAGTTGAGATGCAAAATGACTTTTAAAAAAAGAAGTAAATGTTAAAAAATTACTTTCCATCTTTATTACTATTTTGCAGCTAAACCATAAAAGATAGAGGAAAATTTCAAAAGACTGTTTTCATGCAAAATTCAAAATGTGTTAACTTTTGTTATAAACTTTTTCTCGTACTGCATAAAAGTCGACGATTTTTTAATCTACTTGAGAAAATTCTTCTAGACTACCAAACGTAATCATAACCCTTAATCTAATTACCTGAATAAATGCTCAATTACTACTTTCCAAGTTTAATTACATCCTACTGTATTTTTAAAAATATTCTTAGAAACTACATAAACAACAAAAATTAAAAATTCTTCTTTGATGTAAAAAAACCAAAAAAATATCATACACATTTTAATATGCTTACAAGTATATGTGTACACATTTTACATTGGAAACGATCATTTTTAATCCCGTATACATTCAAGAAAATAAGCACGTGTAGCCATATAGTAGGGTGGTGTTTTGTACTATGTGACAAAGGCGCGTACTCATTGTCCTCACAGCGATTCAATAGACGAGGAGTCGCAGGTTCGTGTTGTCTGGATTTTTTCTCGTTCTGTAGATCCCACCGGATGTTCAAGACTCTGAATATATATATATATATATACCTTATGTTCCATGAAATGTTTCACATTTTATAGCTAAGTTGACAAAAAAAAGAAAATGTAAATGGGGCCCACCTTTTTGAGAGACTAGAGAGAAAGGGAAAAAGAAAACAGGTGTAAATTTGAATTTGGAATTGAAATATAAAACAGACTAATGAATGAATATTAAAAATAAATGGCGCCAGACACTTGATAATCATGCTGACAATTGGTAAAATCATTTAATCATGATAAAAGCTTCAAGTCTCGAGAATCTTTCCAACCCTTTTTTTCTCTTTTTAATCCCTATTTCTTTCATCAAATACGTCTGCAGTGTATATGAATTTAAGCTCCTTTTTTATCTTTTTCCTAACTTGCACAATACAAAAGGCATATTCCAAAGTAAGCTTGAATTTATGCAAACGCAGGGACTATTCTTCAAATTGAAAGATTTTTTTACTACATTTAGAGCTTGGAAGAAAATTTAACAAACCCGTAAAAAAATGATTTTTGTGATGAATTCATTGATGGAACAAGTTTTTAATTTTTGGGAAATAGGTATCTTGAAAAAGTAGAACAGGTGTTGTTAGTAAAAAAATGTTTGATAGCTAATTGATGCTATAAAATAACACTAAAGATTGAAAAGTAATTTTTTTATGATTTTTAATTCTATTACCTATTCATCACTATTTTTCATGTAAACTGTAAGAGATGCGAAAAAACTATCCAACAAAAAATAAAGATTTCTAAATTTTGCATCAAAAAGGTCCATTGTCATTTTTCGCTATTTTTCATTCAAATCAATCCAAAATTAATAACTTGTCTTCAGCATACTTTATAGCTAAACGATGCAAGATATAAAATAAAATTAGAAAAACTTTGTTGTGTTAAATTTAATAATCTTCAATTTTATAATTTATATTATTTTCTTTCGACTTTTGTAGCAAAACTATAAAAGATAGCAGAGAAAGTATAAGGAACTTTTCATTATGACATTTCAATTTATACAACTTTTGTATTCACTTTTTCTTCTATCTCTCATAGTTTTCGAGATAATTACAAATAACTAAATTGTATCTTACATCAACAAACATTTGTTGTCTTTTAACAAGCTATATTTGAACTTTAAATTTACGATACTCTATAAACACTGTTAATAAACATTCCCAATCATCTCATAATTTTTCTATCTATCTCAGAATAACCAAATGTGATCGAGCTAAGTTCTCTCCTTCAAATTAATATGGAAAACGTGTTAAATCCTAAATAGAAGCAACTTTAATCACAACAGACTGGAATGATCCATCAAATAGATTTGAAATGAGTCCCACGACTCTAGAAACCTCTAGATGGGAGGGTTGGGGGATTATCAATTACATTATGGCGCTTAAATTCAAACCTATTTGCATTATTGCAATTCAATCGGCCATAGTGGAGTTGTAACACTTAAACACAAGAGTTAGTATGCATTAAGGTTGAAAAATAAATGAAAAGAGGGGGTTAAAAGCGTGGGCGTAAAGGGGGTAGAGGGCGCTTGCGCGAGAATACGATACTTGCGCCTCATTCGTTGTCGTCAAGGACGAGATAGTCTTTGGAGGCGGAGAGATGAATCTTGGACCAAAAATGGGTGGCTGGAAATAGAATACTACGGGGATGAGTATCTTTGTGGATTTCCGGGTATTTGATGGAAATACCATGCCGAAATGCCTTTCGTTACGTTATTCGCTAGGTCGTTTCTCGTCACGCCTGATGAATTCACAACGTATGTATAAATGTATGTGCAGGAAATGTCGTCCTCTTCCTCGTCTTTGGTGCGATTAACGAGACGGAATGAGGGAGCCACTGCGAGCTTCTGAGTACTGTATTGTTAATGTGTATTATACCGCGATCGAGGATCCATGCTAAAAAGCCTTTTTTCTTTATCGTTTGCCGCAAGTCTACCGAATAATTTGCCGCTCAATACGAGAAAAAAAGAGATACTCGTTGAAGGGAATATGTCCCACCCTACTTTCAATCCGATTTCTCTCTTTAATATTCTCATCTTGAGGCATCAATTATTACAAGAAGGATATTGGACTATTTTTCTTGTGGTCCAGTGACTAAAGTTATAAGGTAAGGGATTCATTGTGAATCAAAATATTATCGAAGAAATAAAAAAGATAGTTGAGACACAGTTTTTTACAATTATCGCGAAAACTATGGGAATTGCGAGAAAAAGTTTCAGACAACATTTTTGAATTTTTAATTTAAGTTAAAGATCGTTTAATTTTCTATAGAAATGATAATTATACTTTACTCCGTATCTCTTATATGTTAGTAACAAAATTATCATAAAGAGATTGAAGTGATTTTTGATGATTTTTTTAACACTTTCGTATTTTTATTGTCATTTTTTGATAAACTATAAAAGATACACTAGAAAGTTTGAAATAAAGGTTGAAGATCTTCTAATTTATTATGAAAAAGGTTTCCATGCTTTATTCTGTATCTGTTATAGTTGAACTGTGAAATGACAATAAAAAATAACAACAATGTTAGAATCCATTGATAGTTAATCTCTGATAGTTGACAAAATAATCGCAAATAACTGTTGGACAATTTTTTTTATTTCTTCCCGAAACATTCATCAAAGTTTCGAGAAAATGAAAAAAATCCAAACAAACGTCTGAATAAAGATAATAAATCATTTGTATTCACCTAATCTTTTGGAGATTTCACTATTGTGCATCTTGGGATTCTCCTGTGCAATTTTTCTTCGTTGTAATCTGGACCACACCATGAAGGCATTCATGGGTCTCTTGATATGTTCTGTCTGTGGTTTCTTATTCGTCGCAAGTGTATTTGGAATGGCCACCGCCATTGGTCCAACCTCATTAGAATTTGGAGATGCACCAGTCAAACATTGCATACTCCTAAGTGAGTCTGGAAAAGTAGCACCGTCGCACATGTTTCCGCCGGCTCTGTAAATTCAAGAAAAAACCAAACTTAAAACTCTAATAGTTATTCAATCAATCTGGGACAAAATGTCACCGTAGTTAATCTAAAAAAGGCCAAAGAGCACTTGAGAGACCCTCAAACTAATACAATTACGTCACTGATCTTGAGGATTCATTAAAAAAAAAAAGATGTGGTCTCTCTTAAGAGTCGGTTTCCACCCTGAGGCGTGGTAGTTACGAATTTTAGGGTTAGCATGAGCTTGAATAAAGCAAACCCCAACATTGAGTGTCATTGAGTAAGGATTAATAGATACGTAGGTCATGAGATGGGGTGACGAGCTTCAAAATAGGGGGTGGTGCGACGGTCAACGAGGTCTAGGGTCATGAAACAAGAAAGGGAATATGATGACAGGGTGACTGTATATATATACACAAGGGACACTGAAAGATGCTGGAAGTAATGGTTGTTGACAAGTAATGCTTGTTGCCGAGATTAGGACGCGCTAATTGAATGTTTAGGGACTATCCTGAAAGCCCCACCGATTTATTATCAATTCTATTCCACACCAGTTTTCTTGTAGATTTCATCTTTAGGAAAACTAATCCAGAATATACTTTATCAAGATTTTCTTGAAAACTTTGAGAGATACGAAAAATAATATGTTAAATAAAGTTTGTAACAAATTAAATTTTGCATAGAAAAAATCATTGTGTTTTATCTCATAACTCGTATAGATTAACTGTAAAATAATGATAAAGACAGAAAAATTTCAATAACATTACTTTTTTATCTTTATTGGTATTTTGCAGCTAAGCTGTGATAGATACAAAAAAATATAAAAACATTTTTCGGGTAAAATTTTAAAACCTTTAATTTTTATTTCACCTGTTTTTTCGTATTTCGCGTAATTCAACTGTTAAGTTACTTTAAGGATGAAAAAAATATTAAACATCGTTAAGAAATTACTTTGCCATCTTTATTAGTATTTTGTAGCAAAACTATGAGACCTGAAGAATAAAATGTAAAACCTTTTTTGTGCAGAATTTCAAAGCCTTTAATTTTCATTTTAGTATTTTTTCGTATCTGCTTTCGTTTAACTGCAAATTAACAGTAAATAAAGAGAATTGATTTTTAATAATATCGAAGAGAAAGATTAGAGTTACCGATTTCCGTTTTAAAATCCCTCCTTCGGGTTTATTCTTCCTCTTGTTAGACACACTTTTCACACATAAAGAGATCTCCTTGTGCTTAAATTCGACCCATACTATTTCATTCTATTTTCAACCGACGGATTTTGTGACTATTCTCTATTCAGACATTGAAACTTTACACTTAGTTTGTCGTATGATTTTTTTTTGCCTGCTTTATACCGTTGTCCGCATTGGTATTCTCTTCACAATTGATCCATTGAAGATATATTAGTAGCATTATTGTTATTTTGGCCACCTGAATATTCAACTGATAACCTTTTCTATTCTTTATTTTAAATATCGACACACAAAAGCTTTTGTATTTATCACATTTGACTGGATATTACGACTACACTAAACTCGTGCATTCAGTTGTATATTGATTCGAGTTATTACGTGGAATTGAGAAAAAAAATGATGCAGTTCCAGCAATATAGCACTGGTGGAAGTATTTAGGAATTTGCGAAAATGTAATCAAGGTTACTTAAAATTAATTGTAATATTAGACCCTCAATTAAATTAATTGAAATTATTTCGTAACCGACAAAAAATATGAAAAAAAAAAATTTTACTAAAAAATAAAGATCGTCAAATTTTGTATATAAAAGCTTCTATGTTTTCGTTTACTATTTTTTATCATGAAACTCAAAATCAAAAAAGTGATTTTCGATATTTTTCCGTATTTATTTTTATTTTGTAGCCAAACTATAAAGGATACAGAAAACAGTTTTTAATTAAAATTGAAGAGCATCAAATTTGACACAAGAAAATATTCTTGACATTTTTTTCTATCTCTAGAGAACATTAAATTTTGCGTAAAAATGATACCTACACTTAAATGTAGAGGTAAATTTATCCCGTATCTCTTATAATTTACCTGAAAAGCAGCGATCAAAATATCAGGAGTTAATTTTTAAAAAAAATTAAAAGGAAACTGGGTCGGCTAAATCCGAAAAAAATATCCAAAATATCACAAAAGCAAACATTTTCACAGCAAAGATGACGACTATAACTGGCTGAATCCCTCTTTTTTTGTAAAATTTTCACTTCACTGAAGTACAGATGATTTACACTAAATGACGCGTTTTCTTAAGAGAAATGAATTTGTTCCAAAAACCATTTTTCCAATGAAATTTTAAAGAAAAAACAAATATTTACCTTATAAAATTGCCGGCGGTTCGTTGATAATCCAGCTCAATGATTCGGCCGTAATATTATCAAATAGAGTAAACGTCTAACTAGAGACGTAACTGGATCACGTGTGAACAAACAAAATCGTTTAGTCAAAATCACACCAAAACACCAACAAATTATCAAATCACTTGTCTATAGAGATATTCTCACAATCACTAAAACAAGCAACTGACATAAATCCGGATTAAGAAGTTCTTTCAACAACACTCTGACGACGGATCGTACCTAAGACACCTTGGAGCCGATGTGTCGAGGTCGAAAGTGCCGAGGCAAGTGGTTCCCTCGAGTTCCCGCCCTAGAGGGAAACTTACCTAGAATTTGGATTCCTCCCCCCTCTCTACCATGAGACCAAAACAAGTGACTGGCAATGCGGGCGGAGTTTGTTGCCGTAGCAACAGTCTTTTACTATCCAATAGAACCTCATGAGGGCATGGTTTTGCCAATTACGTTACTCAACCAGACTGTTGTTCATTGGTTGCTTCAACAACTAACACGCAACTGAGAAATGAAGAGTTTTGAGTTCCTCATGTTGTCGCGAATTCGTTCCCGCGTTTTGTCGATTCGGGTTAAGAGTAACCGAGATGGTAACATCAAGTGCTTACGCAAGCGCAATGCACTCAATTGTCTCAAATGAAGGACAGGCGCTAGAAAGGGGAAATATCAGATTTAAATTCAATCCGTTGGTAGATGGAGTTGTGATACAGTTAATGACATAAAGAGTTGTTACGACTACTGGGTCTATTATAAGGCTTTATATCACGTTTCTGAGTGTTTAATGGTAAATTATGGTGTAAGAGGGGTTGAGAACTATGGGTTTATTAGAGAGATGCGTTAATTGTGATGATTTGAGAAATTTTTTTTTTGCTTTGGAAGAACAAGTTATGACGATAAAGCAAGAATTAGTACGAAGACTAGCTGACAAAGTAACTTTTTCATTATTATCACGAAAACTATGACAGGTGCCGAAAAAATGGTTAGAATAAACATTAGAGGTCGTAAAATTTTGTAAGGGAAAAATCCTTACAATTTGAGTTATATTTTTCATTGTTTAATGATTGGATGGTTATGAACATGAGACAATGATAGAAATTAATGGATTATTGTAAATGACAATGGCCCACTTTCAATGTTACTTTTTAGCTTAACCATTAAAGTGAAAAATCAAATCATAAAACCTTTTTTTGTGTAATTTGGAGCTTTTTAATCTTTGTTTACACTGTTTTTCGTGTCTCACATAGTCCAGCTGGAAAATGACAATAGAAATAAAAAAAAATCGCTTGCATAAAAACTTGATTTGTAATTTTGTAACTAAACTTTTATAGATAGAAGGAAAACTCTTACAGCCTTTCATATGTATTACAAAATAGATTTTTATCTTCTGTTTAAAACTTTTTTCTGTATCACTTACAGTTTAGCTGTAAAATTACCATAAATCAAAAAATGTTAAAAATCTATTATTTTTTTCTCATATTCATTTTAAAACAAAACTATATAAGACAGAAGGGACAGTATAAGAACCATTTTTTGTAAAATTTAAAGATCTTTCCCTTGTCTTTTAGATTTGACGAGATAATTACAAAAAACTTAATTCTAGGAAATTGTTTACAAGTTCCTCTTTTTCTCCACTTAACTGGTTGTATAGGTCTCCAATTGTTGAGAAGGCACATTAAATACTAAACCGTTTTTAACTTTATAAGCGTAAAATGTCGACCTTGAATCACTATGAGAATGAAGCATCACTACAAAGTCGTTCCCTAAAGAAATACGCCCAGAGAAATAATAAGATGTGTTGGGGTTGATTTCTGGTTTAAGGACGGGAAAAAAGCAATTATTACGATGTTTGAACTTGAATGTAATCTGTAAGAATATTAAGTTAGCACTTGATGTGTGGATTTGTGGGTTAGCGTGAGATTAACACTCACGAATGATATTCAACCCCAATGTGTATAAGAGGGTGCTAGGTCTACCACTGTATCGATACATAAGCGACAAATCCCCCCTTTTTGTTATCCCTACTTCGATCCACTCAACCAAGAGGGTGTGGACTATACAATGAAACAAAACATATTGTCCGAATTTAATTGTAAATAGGGGAACATAAGATATTCATACGTTACGTACGGCTTTACTAAATAACGATGTGTGTCTTGATAATAACCAGTTATTTTACTATTTTATTACAATTTACTGTTCTAGTGCGGGAAGCAGTCAATAATTTCAGTTTTCAACAACATTTTACTGCACTAATTCAAGAAACGTAACGTATTATTTTGATTCCATGACTTTCCATAACTACAGTATAAAAAGTCACCTTTAATTTCTTTTTAGCTTTCAGATCAATTTTTCTTTCACTAGTACGGAAAACAATTGATTCTTTTACTAATTCATCATATTTTATTTTAATAGTTTACAAAAGTCTATTTATATCACTATCTCCTGAACAAACAATTATTAATTATTTATTATTTGATCATACTTTGCTGCACTAGTGCGGAAAAATTATAATTCCAATAATTTATGTTAAAAGATGTTTGAACTACCACTGTATCGATACATAAGCGACAAATCTCCCCTTTTTGTTATCCCTACTTTGTTCTATTCAACCAAGAGAGTATGTGTTGTACAACGAAACAAAACATATTGTCCGAATTTAATTGTGAAGAGGGGAACATTAGGTATTCATACGTTACCTACTGCTATGCTATATAGCGACGTGTGTCTTGACAATAAACGGCTACACAAGTTTATCCATCCGTTATACATAGAGAGAACTTTTTTTTGTATACCCTATCATCAAATACTCAATTATCTTTTTCTCTTTTTACTTACCAATGTACCTTTGTTTTAAAGGGCTATAAAATTGTCTTTTAAAAGCGTTTAAAGACATTGTGATACATCATAAGAGTAAAGGCTTTCTTCTTGTTGCTTCCGTGGATGGTTTTTTCTTTTATTTGAAAGAAAACAATATTTATTAATTTCCCAGTGGGAAGTTATAGTAATGGGTCCGATTTTGCGAATCCCGAATTTCGACGAATCTCCTCGTTTCAAGGTCCCCAGAGTCGAATACAATAGTTTTTGAGTGGACGTCTGTGTGTGTATGTACGTATGTTCGTATATTCGTACGTTCGTATGTGCGTTCGGAATTATTTTTCGACTCAATTATCTCGAGAACAAAAAATAACATTATGCAACTTAGAACTGATTAGATTTTCAGCAAAATCGATCCAGCCATTTTTTATGCAGAATCAAAAAACTGAAAGAAATGGTGAACTAGATAAATTTTATCATTCTTTCTACTGGGAAGTGAGTAGTGTGGAACTTTCGAGTCGCACCCGGACCACTGGAGAGCACTGATATTTAATTCTTGGTTTAATTTTTGCAAAAGAATATAAATAAATGGATTGTTAACATTGATAAAGTTACTTTCTGTTATAGTTTTATGTGATTATCTCATAAACTACGAGAGATGCAAAAACAAATAAAAAAACAAAAAATATAGCTATTTAAATTATACATCATAAAGGTTCTAAGATTTTTTCTCTTAGCATTAATAGTTAAGCTGCTAAATGGTAATGAAGATGAAGAAGTTATTTCTTGATGAGTTTTAACACTTTTGTATTCTTGATCAGCATTTTTCAGCTAAATTATAAGAAGTACAAAGGAAAAGTCTTGTAAAAAAGTGCAAGAGCATTGAATTTTCTATAAATATGGTCATTATTCTTTACTCCGTATCTTTTTTAGTTTAATTGTAAAATGATAAATGTGACAAATAAATTGTTGAATCATATTCCATCATATTTCTGCTTTTATTAAAATTTTGAAGCTAAACTATGAGAGATAGAAGATAAAGTTACGAAATTTTATTTGTGTAAAATTAAAAAATCTTACTATTTATTGAAATAATTTTTCTTATATCCGCCATAGTTTTCGAATAAATTACAAAAAATTGGATCGAAAGTGATTTTTTGATTTTTCTCACCCTTTGTCTGTGAAGTAAGCAATATTTTTCTTAATTATCTTTTTTTTTTGTTTACTCATCTTTTTGACATTTTCAGTTATTTCAAACAATTTCTATTACTCAAGTTATCTGACTAATGTAAAGAAATATTTATTACTTCTTTCAATTAGTTCATAATGAGTCTTTCTTGTGAAATTTTTGTAAAAAATATAAATTAAGTTAAATTAGTTTGCGTTACTTACCTTATTTTTTAATTCAATTTTAATTCAAGCATCGATGCAAACAGAATTTTAATTTATCTGGAAACATCGAGTGCAAGAAGAAAACCAATAAATCGTGATAAGTCAACAGAATCAACTCTAAGCGTATAACGTTAAGATTTGTTTGGATAATTTTAATTATTTCTATTTGTTTTTTTTCTTTGCTTAAGTCATTCTTGTATATATCATCAATATCTACAATCTGTTTACTTTACTCTTGCCTGCTAAATTAAACGTCTAATCATTGCTAAAATTTTATTTAGCTACAAAATTTGTAATAAATTATGGAACATTAGTTACGAAATGTTTTTATCAAAAATGAAAAAAAAAACATTTTTTAAATCATGATTTTGCTAAAAAAAAATAAACTGATTTAGTTATTAATCATATGGAAATTTTTAAACAAGTTAGTGGAGAATAAATATATAATAGTTAAAGATATTTATTATATATTAATTAAGTTTTTTACAATTTTCCGCAAAACTATCAGAAACACAAAAAAAGTTTTAAAATATCAGTGCTCTGCAGTGGTCTGGGTGCGACCCGAAAGGTCCACACGACCAACTTCCCAGTGGAAAAAATGAAAAAACAATTCGAATAGAACCCGTTTCCATTCTTTATAACAAATGGAATTGTTATAAACGAAATGAGTCTGTTTTTGTTCATTTGATATGGTTAGTTACTTTATTTCAGTAAAAGAAAAAATTATGCGTTAGAAGAATTCGAATATACCTCATAGATCTTTTTCTTCATTATTTACAACAAATTTCATTGTTATAAACAAAAAAGCACGTTTTCATTTATGTCATACGGTTGGTAACATTTTTTTCGTAAAAGAAAAAATTATACGTTAAAAGTACTCATATACTGTATATATAGAAAGGGTCCCTATTTTTATTGTTTACAACAATTTAAAACTTATTATTTAAATATTACTATAATCAATAATCACTTGTTAGTAACAATGTTCAATTGTTATGAACACAATTCCATATTATTGACAATTATTATTGACTATTATAGCGTTTTTAATGCTGTTTTCTCAATCCTGACACGAG